TCCGGTCTTTCAGCAACATTTGAAAATCCCTAATTAGGCCTCTTTGCCTAATTAGGAATTCGTTAAAAGTATAAGCCTTAATTGGAATTTCATTATTTCATATGGATTTAATTGGGATTTTCCCTATTTAATATACGCTTTTAATTAACTGTATGTCTCTTTTATCTCAGTTTTTCTTTACTCATTCTCTCTTTCACTCACACTCTCCATAAATAATAATATCTTAAATATTTTTTATATTTATTATTTTAATCAATTTTAACTACTTTTGATATTTAATACTATGACTTGAAAATTTATATATTTATAAGTTAGTACTATGACTTGGAAATAAAATTAAAAAAAATCATCTTCCCTGTAAATATGACAGGGGGAGTATAGCTCGGTTTTTGCCTTGTAATTGATTAAAGCCTAAACATAAATTGGTAATTGTAATGAAACTTCTTAGTTCTTAGTATGTATTACTACATTCTAACAAAAGAAACATTTTATTAATACTAAAAAATGAATACAAAGTATCCAAAAGAAAATAGAACAGTAACAACCATAAACCAAAAAAAAATCCAAAATACAAACCGAGCAAAAAAAAATAGAGAAAAAGGAACAAAAAGAACAAGAAAAAATTGGAAATAAATCTCTAATTGAGAATTTAATTGGTAAATGATACCTAAGAATTTTGTGCAACTTAACATTTTCAGTGTGCAACTTAACTTCCTTTATGTACAATCATGTTTCCTCGTGTCACATTTTCTCTTCATGAAACTAAACTTCTCATGTGTGCAACTAATCTTTCCTTATATGCAAGTTATCATCCTTCTGCGTAAATTAACCTCTTGTATCTGAATAATATTTTGTGCAAATAATTTTTTTCTATCTGCAACTCAACTTCCCTTATATGTATTTTATTTTTCTTTGTGCAACCCATCGTTCTAGGAACTATTTGCTAATAAATTTTCTAATGAGGAATTCATTACCAATTTTGCAAAAGAACAAAGCTAATCTTCGAAAAATGTATTACTACATTTTAAAATACATTAGTTCACATTAGATGTTCTTGAGAAAACTGAGATAAATCTTCATTTGAAAAATTTACTGAGGATTGGTTCTTAGAACTTTGTGAACAAGCCCAATCCTTCAAGATAGATAAATTTGCTCATAACATGATCACAGTGCCCTTAGGGTACATGTACATGTACAACTCGTAGATCTCGTTTATTTAATACAATCTCCCATGGTAATCACCATTCCAATGTAAATATATATTTTCAGATTTTAGTATAATATAATCATGTCTGATTAATTATAATTATGTAATTAATCTCTTGGAAAGCTGGTCCTTGCTAAAGATATAAAACCCAATCCCAAGGAAAACCATTTTACCAATAAATTCAATACATCTTTCTTATATAAAATGTAAAAAAAATAGGCCGTACTATGCACAATTTGCGAGGAACAAAAAACTGAACTAAACACTAAACCGATTGGGGTAATAAGTTAATAGCAAGTGGGTTAAATTAGGATCAACTCAGAGTTAAACTAGTCATATTAAAATAATATCATTTGATTGAAAATAGCAAAGTGCAATAACATTAACAATTACTAACAATAAAATACAATAATAGTTTAATCATAACAAAATAAAGTAGAATAACATTGAAAATTTGATCTTTATGATTCTTTAATAATTAAAATTAATAATAATTGATATCAAAATTATTATTAAAATTTATTCAAATTTATAATGATTGATGTATTAGGAGTTGAATAAGAAAAAGTAAAACTAAAAGCAACATAATCATCCAAACTAGTTTACATTAGTTTTCACCAGTTCAACTTCTGGCCAGTTCAATACTCAAACCAAATCAGATTGCTGGCTGGTTCATCAATTTTTTGAAAAAATAATAAATTACTTGAAAGTATTTATATTTATCATTTTATTTAAACTAATTTATCTCACTTATAATTAATATATAATCTAACAAGGCATATAAGTATTTTAGGGATATTATGTGACACATGCCATAATTAAGTAATTTAATAACCTTCTCAATTTTTTCAAATGATTCAACTGGTTTTTATATTAATTATTAAGAACCGGAGGTCGTAGTTTAAACATAAGATTTTAATCTATTTTATGATTTTATCTTTTATTTTTATTATTTTTCTCAAATTAATTTATTTAATTTATAAATTGGTAGATAACATAATGTTATATTGGAGTATTTTAGGAAGATCATCTTAATTTGTTAGTTAAATAACTTTCACGAATATTACAATTTTCTAAAGACTAATAAATTGATTAGAAAATTGTTCAAACATCTCCTATTACAAAATTTATTGTCCAAAAGTATTTAGAAATTCAGATTTTTGAGTGAGTGCAACTCGTCTTCAGTTATGTGAAATATATTTTAGGCTACGCAAAATTAAAAATATGTTGTACATACCCGAAGAAGAATACTCGGGCTAAAAATATGTTGTAATTGGCTTTTTAGACAAATTTCAAATACATAAATGGGGAGTTTTGTTTTAACAATTTTTTTAAATTAATCAAACGATTATAACTAAAGTGTTCCCTTTTTAATAAATAATATGATTTTTCACTGTATTACTAATTACATCCTTTTTGAATTAAATTTACAGAGTAATGCATTTATTGTAGCATGCTAGAACTTTCAAAATCCTTACTTTGCCTTGTTAATGAGATTTATAGGACACCCGATATGTCTGCCAAGCACCATGACACATCTCCAGATCTAAAAGTGGTTGGAAGCAAATTGAGGGATATATTAGAGGTACGTACGCTTTATTCATGTTGAACACACATGAATATGTATGGTTGTCTTATCTTCCTTTCCAATCCTGTTAATTCTTTTAGTGTGATTCATCAAGCCTGCTAACCCAATATGCCCATCCGAGCCCGTGAAAAAATAGTCCTGCCTAGCACGAAAAAAAACAGCCCAAAGAAAAATGGGCATTTTTGGGCTGGGTATGTTATGGGTAAGGCTGGGCTATGGGCACGGTATGCTGCCCTGCCCGTTTGGCCATGCCCTTGATATATATATTTATAATTCTTTTTTTTGTCAGAAATACTTATAATGATATATAATATATATAATAATACATATTATTCTCCCCTCTTCTATTTGTCCCAGATACATTTAGTGGTATACGTAATTCTTCCCTCTTAGTATCTTTTTAATGTTTTTCTAATCTGGTTTAGTATCTTTTAGTTTGTTTTCATTGTTGGTTGTCTTGCAAAGATGCAAAAGCAAGCTCACTTTAGTGTTATATTAAAAGATATATCAATTTAAGACAAATCAAAGTTAATGATTTGTTGAATTTATTGTTTATTCAAGTATTTATTTCTTTATAGTTGTTATAAGATCCCCTTACTTTAACTAAAAAAATTTTCACTAAGGTATCACTATTTGGGCTTGGAAGCTTGCCCTGCCTAGCCCAAAAAGGGTTGGGGCTTCTATAGGCAGGGCAGGGTAGGGCGAGCTATAATGCAGCCCGCTCATCTTTCGGGCCGGGCATCAGGCATGGGGCATGCCCTGCCCAGCTCTGCCAATGAACACATCTAATTCTTTTTCTTAAATTGGATGCAAAAGGCAGGAGGTCAATTATGAACTAAACTAATGGGATTTACTGTGTTTGATCTGCCTCCCTGAAATAAAAGGAAGTGTATTATGTTATTGACAAAAAGGAATTGGCCTCATCGCAGTGGAGTGGTTTTCATTTTGTATGTCCCTTTCTCAGCTCTTTGATACATCTCTTTAAAAAAGGAAGATTGTTGTTGAGCTCTATGACATCATTGCTACTCGTGGGGCCCACTTAGCTGCCTCCGGAATTTTAGGCATTCTCAAGAAAACAGGAAGGGACACAGTGAAGGCGGGAGAGAAGCAAAAATTAGTGATAGCAATGGATGGAGGATTATTTGAACACTACATGAAATTTCACACCAGCTTGGAGAATACTCTCAAGGAATTATTGGGAGACGAGGCAGCCAACACCATTGTCATTGAGCACTCGAATGATGGCTCGGGCATTAGAGCAACCCTTCTAGCAGCAACACACTCTCAGTATTTGGGAGTGGATGACTTCTGAAAATAAGGTTCATCCCACGTAGAAGTGCAGAAGTTTCACTTTGTGTACCATTACACCAGTAAGTCTATACTCTATATTGGGGCTTTCTTTGGTGCTCGCTGGTTTTATTCTGTAGCCATTGATGTTGCTCTTTTGTAGGTGGTTAGGGCATTGATTCCCTCATTATGTTCAAGAATAAAGCGAGAGATGTGAACTATGCATTGGGTAGTTCCTGATAGCAGTTGGAGTGAATCAAGACTTTCATGTACAAACAGGGCTATTACTATCATCATCATTATCAGCATTATTGTTGTTGTTATTATTATTATAATTAAAATGATGCTGCCAAGCATTATCAATATCCAATCTTCTTTCCCTCTTTGAAGTCTTATTAGGAGAGTTACAGCATGGAAGATTCTGATATTCTTTTCTACATAACTAAAATGGGTCCCTGCAGCAAAGCAGAGTCGGCAAAGCCACCTTCATGGAAGGCCTACTAGCTGCCTGCGTTGTTGTACACATCAACCCAAGTTTGGAGATAGGAAACATTTCATTTGCATAGCATGCTTCCTTAATTTCTTCATTTAGTACTTCTACGTCTCCACCAAGCTGCATTTGTGGCCTTGCCCAGTGGGGTAAGAGATTAGTGTTCATCTCAATGATTAACTTCTTTTCTAGTCGTCAGTTCCAATAGAACAACCCAAAAGTTATATACTTATCTTTTCAGTGATTTTTCTTGTTTGAATATACTCTGCATCTGAAGCTGAAAATTCCCCTTGGAATGTAACTTATATATGTTGGCGAGAAATTTAAATAGGTAGGTTCAGCTGAAGCAATATAGCAAAATGAACTTGAGATAGCCTATGGGATTGCAGATTATTCTTCTAGATAATTACTTGAGATAGAACAGATGGTGGTATGCTAAAATTCTTTCATATATTACGTAGTGGTGATCATGTATGAACATCTCTTTATTTCGCATATAGTGACGTTATTATACAACTTAAAGTTACATAATGAACTTGTTCACTTATCTCAAAAGACAAAAATCATTTTCCACTTCTGAGTTATTTGGAAGTTGAAGTGAAACCAAAATCTCCATGCTCTCAGAGTCACAAGAATCTAAAGCAGTTGTTCTTTTACTTCCACCAACACCTGATTCTGACTTTGTAGAAACTGATATTGTTTGCCTTCTTCCTGCATCACCTAAAAGGATTTACTTCAACTGTGAGGCCAATGATGCTATAAATCATCATCAATATCCAATCTACTCTCCCTCTTGGAATTCTTTAGCAGAGGGACAACATCAAAGATTCCAGGACTCCTTTCTCCATAACCAAATGGGTCCCTGCAACGAAGCAGTATTTGCAGAACCTCCTTCATGGAAGGCCTATGGGCTGGTAGTATTGCAGTACACATAACCCCAAGCTTGAACACGTGGCATATTTCATCCATATAGCATGCTTCCATAATTTCGTCATCTAGAACTTCTTCCACATCTCCACCCAACTGCACATGGCGACATGCCCAGTCTGCAAGAGATGAGTGTTCATCTCCGTAATTTGCTTCTTTTCCAGTTGTTAGTTCCAGCAACACCACCCCAAAGCTATACACATCGATCATTTCATTGATTTTGCTTGTTTGAATATATTCTGCATTTCAAAGTGAAAATTCATGTTAGATTGCAAGCTGTATATGAATATAAAGACATAAAAGAGATATAAATATGGTGCAAGTAATTCACCTGGAGCAATATAGCCATATGATCCAGCTACACCTGACATGGTGATGAGTTGGCTTGGCTTGATCAACATTCTTGCTAGACCAAAGTCTGCAACTTTTGCATTGAATTCCGAATCCAAAAGGATGTTACTTGTTTTAATATCACGATGAATGATCGGAGGGGAGCAATCATTGTGCATATAGGTCAGACCTTGGGCAGCTCCTATGGCTATCTGCAATCTTTTTGGCCAATCAAGAACAACATTATGGTTTAACCTATTCTTTTTGCTCAACCAGCGGTCAAGGCTATTGTTTTCTAGGTATTCATACACAAGCATCAAAGAATCCTCGCTTGAAATACAACACAACAGCTTCACAATATTGTTGTGACAAATGTTGCTCAAAATCTTAACTTCTGCTAGGAATGCATCCTCAAGTTTCTGCTCCCACTTCTTATTGTCCATTATCCTCTTCACAGCAACATAGCCTAAACCATCTATAGGGACTTGATATACTGTGCCAAACCCACCTCTGCCTATAATATTGTCATCTGTCAGTGATGATACGATGTTCATTCCACTGAAACTAAACCTGTGAAAGGAAGTCAACTTCCATGAAGTATCCAGTGCCTGCTTTCTTGATTTGTATACTCTAATAATTAAGAGTAAACTCAAGAAGGTTGCTAAAGAGGCCACTATCACTAGGCCTATGGTCAAAGCAGGAGACACAGATGATCTGTTGCTTGATCCTTGAAGGTCAGAACCGAAATTGCATAAGGGAAGGTTTAGCCTTTTGGTATTAGCACAGAGACCAGAATTGTTTAGAAAGCTGTCAGAATAGACAAGGTTTTCAAATTCTCTAGGAATCTTTCCTGTGAAAAAATTTGAGGATAGATTGAAGTTTGTAAAGGTCATTGACAATTTACCAAGTTGAGGTGGAACATGACCGGAGAGCTGATTATTTGACAAATCTAGTTGTTCCAGGACAGTTAAACCATCAAAAGAATATGGGATTTGTCCAGAGAGTTGATTGTGACTCAAATTTAGAGCATTGAGAGATTTCCAAGATATGATTTCTGATGGAAGTGGCCCTGTTAGCTGGTTTTGATCAAGCAATAATGTCGTTAGCTTAGGAAGAGTCGTAAGCTCTTGTGGAATACTTCCGTTGAAGAAATTCTTACTAGCTTTAAACTCGATCAGATTCTTCCAGGTAGATACTCCTGCTGGAATTCTACCAGAGAATTGATTGTTGCTGATGGACAACCTTGAAAGATTCCAAGCCAATCTTTGAGGTAGCTCGCCGGTGAGCTTGTTGTTGCTGACTACTAGAGTCAACAAATTCTGTGATGTCCAAAGGCCGCCAGGGATTTCACCTGAAAAACCATTATTGTCAAGAAACAAGTGTTGCAGGCTAGTGCAGCTCCCTAGTGATTCCGACAGCTCCCCGCTTAGATTGTTGTCATAAGCACTTACACCAACTAACATGCCCTTGTAACATAAATCCTCTGGCAATTTTCCTGTCAATCGATTGGTTGCAACCTGGAAGGTTTTGAGTGGCGCATAACGACCAAAATAAGGAGGAAGAGTGCCTGATAGGTGGTTTTGGAAAACCATGAAATCTATGAGAGCTGGCAGATGAGCAAGGCTTTCGGGTATCTCTCCTGATAGTTGATTCATATCCAAACTCAAGCCTGTCAGCTTTTTAAGCTTCCCTAAACTAGCTGGGATTTTTCCAGTAAGAATATTGCGTGAAACATCGAGTATAGTCAGATTCAAAGCTTCAATTTTTGCAGGTATTTCCCCAGATAGCCTGTTTTTCCAAAGATACAATATGCTGAGATTCTTCAAAGCAAACAAACCACTGGGGATTTGCCCACTTAAACCATTCTGCGATAAATCCAATTCCACCAAACTAACCAGTTCTCCAATACTTTCTGGAATTTTCCCAATCAAATTCTCATTTTCCTCCAAGCGTAACAATTCAAGATTGGACAAGTTGCCTATTTCATCAGGGATACTACCGTTAAATTCACACCAGTGAAGTTGAAGACTTCTCAACTCCTTCAACCTTCCGATACTGGTCGGAATGTCACCGGAGAATTCGTTGGCACCAAGATTAAGGAAACGCAAGTTGGCCAATCGGTCAATGTCATTTGGAATTGGACCCGAAAAGTTGTTCTGGGAGAGGTCAAGGTACTCAAGCTTGGAGCAATTGTAGAGAAATTTTGGGAACTCCCCAGTGAAATAATTAAGTTGAAAATCAATAAAGGTGAGATTTCTAAGGTCACAGAGGAAAGGAGGTATCGTTTTGGTAATGTTCAAGTCACCAAAATCTAATTTGGTGACAGAATCATCGGTGCAGTTGATGCCAAGCCAAGAACAATGAGAGGAATCCGATGGGGCCCACTGATGGAGGAATGGATGAAGGTGTTCTTTTATGTTCAGTAGGACTGCGTGTTCTTGATCATAGAGGTGAGACTTATTAGTCTTAGCATCACTGAGAACAATAAAAAAGAAACAGAAGAAGAAGAAAATGGAGTATAAGTAATCTGGCATTTTGGCAAGCAATTGGGTTTGCTTACAAGTTCTTGTCTTACTCACCAAATTATTGCTCCAAGAAGATGAAGATATAAGAGATGCACCTACTAGTTTGCAATCCTCGAACTGGCTCGACGACTCGGAGAGTCAAGGCCATTAGAGTGGCCCCGTGCTGGAAAGTGGAAGATAGACCAAAGTCCAAAACCATCATTAATTATTTGATTGATGGTGGCTGGTGAACCGATAATGGCCATTATAAGCATATTTCCCGTTGAACGGAAAAGTGCAGAAAGAAAGTAAATACTTTGAATGAAAGACAACGTGGGGTTTTTATATTTGTTACTGATACAGAGAGATCGAATGGATTCTCATCTCAGCACTCCCAAGTTTCACTTCAAAGGTTCAAGCCCATCGGTAAGGGCATGTCTCTAAAACTTAGAAAGTACTTACATGGATTCAAATTTATAACCGTCTTTTATTAAAGAGATCAACTCGAATATAGGAAATCGTGAAGCACCATGGAATCCGCGTTTGATGACAAGGAACCCCAGATGAGTGAAGCCCACATGTTTGTCAAAAAAGTCAAGTGGGGCAGAAGCACGCCTTTCTTGAAGTTGGAGGCGCCACGTTTGAGAAATTTCCACCGCGAAAAAGTCAAAAGATGTCGACGTAAGCGGGGGGCAGTGGAAGACCTTGACTTGCGCAAAAAGGCAACAACCCATTTGTGATATGATTCCTCATTCCTCAGCTTCTAATTTTCTGCTTTCGTTTTTACTCATAGTTTTTGAATATTGGAACTAATTAAATACTATACTTAAGAATTGAATAATTTGGATTGATTAAAAAATACTAAATTATTTTTAAAATATTTATATTTATGATTTTTTAAAATTAATTTACCCCACTTATAAATTAATATATAATCTAATAAGGTATATAAGTATTTTAGAGATGCTCCTTCCATTCCTTATTATAAGATCCTTTTAATTACATTGTACGGTTTAAAAAATAATTAAAATTAGTTTGAAGAAATTAATATGTAGAAAATAGATTTTTTCCAAATATACTCCTATATATAAATGGGTAAATGTGTGAGAGTAATAGTGGAGTATTAAATGCATTAAGTTAGGGGGTAAAATAAGTAATAATATATTAAATGCTCAGACAAACTTAAAAAGGATCTTATAAAAAGAAACAAATACATTCAAAAAATTATATCTTATAATAAGGGAAGGGGGAGTATTATGTAGCACATGTTATAATTAAGTAATTTAATAACTTTTTTAATTTTTTTAAATGATTCAACTGGTTCTTATATTAGTTATTAAGAAGCAGAGGTAATAGTTTTCATCTTAAATATAAGATTTTAATTTATTTTATGATTTTATATTTTATATTTATTATTTTTATCAAATTTATTTATTTAATTTATAAATTGGTAGATAACATAATGTTATATTAGAGTATTTTAGGAAGATTATGTCAATTTGTTAGTTAAATAACTTTCAGGAGTATTAAATTTTTCTAAAGACTAATAAATTGATTGGAAAATTGTTTAAACATCTCCTATTGCAAAATTTATTGTCCAACAGTATTTAGAAGTTCAGGTTCGACTCTTCTTCAGTTTTGTATAACATATTTTAAGCTATGCAAACAGTTAAAAATATGTTGTACATCTCTAAATAATAGTTGGGGCTACAGATACGTTGTAATTGGCTTTTTAAACAAATTTCAAACGCATAATGGGGAGTTTTGTTTTGACAATTTTCTTAAATTAATCAAAGGACGATATCTAAAGCGTTCCCTTTTTAATAAATAATATGATTCTTTTCCTCGTATTCTGTCTCTAAATAAAGCATTAGATGATAAGGAAGACTCCTAATTTCTTCATCCATCAATTTGATTTTTCAAAACCCAGGAGCAATGCTGATTAATCCGAAGAATCATGCACGAGAATTGTGGAAGAAAATTAATTATTTTGAAAAAATCATGAATTTAAAATTTACAAAGAATGACCAATATCTTTATAAAATCCAAATGGATAAATTTTCTCTTGTGATTGGTAACATGGTTGTAAATTTCGGAAGATTAACTGTAATTTTTAAAAGATTACTTGCAAATCGGTTTGTAAATTATGAAATGGCTGTAAATAATATAATACCATTAGCTAGCTAATAGTGGATTTTGAAGCCTCCCTTATAAGTTGTGATATTTAACGAGGTTATCTAGCTTAACTAAATAATATTACTTTAATTAATATTTAATTTACTATCAATTAAATTAGTTTTAACTAAATAGAAGAACATAGTTAAAATTGATTTACCCAAAACGAACATATCCTATTAAATTAAATTATTATAAGTGATTGAAAAACATTCCTAACATCTATCATAATTTCATCATGAATGGAATCATTGATATTGTAATTTAAAAAATTAAACATATATATCCTCAAATAAGTCCAATCAAATTATTTGTAAGGGAAAATAAGACTCTTCAGGTTGTAAATTATATTATAAAATGACTCTTATATTTAGAAATAAAAAGAGATATTAGATAGGTTTTGTTTGAGAATTGATTGATACCGATGGTCTCCACCACAATGCAAGGACTCAGGCATCAGTTTTCTCCATTGCAATTAAATGATTATGGTAAGTCTGCTCCTGAGCAAGACCGCTATCAGCTTAGCCGCACTTGCTAGCAGAGTTGGAAATTGGTTTGTTAGATTGCAATATTCTCTCCAATCTTTTTATTTTTAAATATAAACTTCAATTTTTTAACTGGATCGTATAAGCCACACTTTCAAAATGTTTAAATATTAATATATTTTTAGTTAATTATATGTCTCTCTTATCTCTGTTTTTTTTTACTTATTCTCTCTTTCACTCACTCTCCGTAAATAAAAATATCTTTTTCTATATATTTATTATTTTTTATCAATTTTAACTAATTTTGATATTTAGTGCTATAACTTGAAAATTTATACATTTATATGAAAAAGTTAGTACTATGACTTAGAAATAAAAAAAAAATCATCTTCCTTATAAATATAACAGGAGAAGTATCGGTGGGCTTTTGTCTTTTAATTGGTTAAAGCCCCAACATAAATTGGTAATTGTAATGGAACTTCTTAGTGCTTAGTATGTATTACTACATTCTAACAAAAGAAACATTTTATTAATACTAAAAAATGAATACAAAGTATCCAAAAGAAAATAGAACAATAGCAATTAGAAACAGCCCAAAAAACAAAAAAGGAAACAAAAACAATCCAAAATACAAACAGAGCGGAAAAAAAACAGAGAAAAAAGAACAAGAAAAAGTTGAGAATAAATGCATAATTGAGAATTTAATTGGTAAATGGTATCTAAAAATTTTGTGTAATATGATGCCCAGCAACCACTTTTAGAACGAAAGAGGGTACAAAAACACAACACAGAATCTGGAAAAACAAATAACCAAAAAAGAAAGACAAGGAAAGAGAGAGTATGGAAAACAAATGAACGAGGAGGAGGCGAAGGTGAAGATTACCAACTCTGGCCTGTTTCGATAGCAGGCCAAACCATGATTTGGTTGGAAAAAAAATCATCCAAACATACACAAATTATCTGAAACCATGGTTTAGGTCAAAACTATGGTTTTGGAACCCAAAACTATGGTTTCGGGAGAAGTGAATCCATTCTATTTCTAACTCAAATTGAAGAGTATGATTGTGCCTATTAGAGTAAATCTCAACAATAATATGACTTTAACACCCCTTAATTAATTTTTATAAGCATATTTAATTTTATATCTTATAAATAAATATACACATATTAATTATTTATTAATTAAATTATCTTATGTATTATTAATTATGTTGGTAAAAAAAATATTATTAACAATTTTGTTCCTTCAAATTAAAATATATCATACAATCTATGTTTTATATAATTATCATATTAACTTATGCTTTTTTAATAATTTATACATATAAAAAGTGTTGCTTATAACAACTATCCAAACACTTGCACTTCTCAGAATTACTTTTTCACAAAATCTATTCTTCACAAAATCTATTTTTTTCAGAAGCTATTCTCCAAAAACTATTCTCCAAACTATAGTTTGGTTTCTTCCAAACCTCCTCTCTCTGCCACCACCAAACCCTCTTCTTCTTCTTCGAACATCTACACTCTCTTGGTGATCTCAAGCCTCCTTTGTCCATCCCAAGCCTTTCACCATCTCTACGCTCTCCTTCGATGATATCTGCCCTCTCCTCCACCCATCTCTCTTCCCACTCGCTAACATCGCCGCTCTTCTTCGCCGGTCACTCCGTCTCTGCACGCCTCTCTTTGTTCCATACCTGTGTTTCTTTTTGTTTTTTGTTTTTTCGATTTAAAATGCCAAGTCATCTACCCTTAAATGACAACTCATTATTTTTTGCCACCTAATCATGCCACATGATCATCATTAACACTGTCAGTGCACATCAGCACCATTAATAAGTAGAAGGACCAAGGGTTTAAGTTAACAGTTCTAAATTTGAGGGACCAATTCCTTAAAAAACAAACTTTAGAGATTTTGACCAAAGCTGACCAGAACTATAGGGACTGGAAACTGGGTTTTCCCTTTTTTATTTGTTACTGGTATAGAGAGATCAAATGGAATCTCATCTCAGCACTCCCAAGTTTGACTTCAAAGGTTCAAACCCACGTAGAATCAATTATTATTTAATAATGTGACATGAATATAGGTTTTTATTTTTTAAAAAGAGTTTAGGAAACTCAAGAAAGCTAGAGTATGTCTCTAAGCTCAAAAAACGCTTATAACAAATTTATAATCTTATATAGATTATGAACTAACTCTTTGTAACTAGACCAATTATAAACATGGTTAATTATGAAGCAACCTAGAATTCTTGATGATACATTTGATGACAAGGACCCCAGATGATGGAAGCCCACAGGTTTGTTAACAGTCAAGTGGGGAAGGAGCCCGCCTTTGTTGAAGTTTGAAGGCATCACGTTGGAGAAATTTCCACCGTGGAAAAAAGACAAGATGTTGACGTAAGGGGGGAAAGGGGAAGACCTTAACTTGCGCAAAAGCCAACGACCCGTGATTCCTCAGCTGCACATTTTCTGCCTTCGTTTTCACTCGTAGTTTTTGAATATCAAACTAATTAAATACTA